CTGAGCCATCCTATCAACCCTTTTTTGTGAAGGGTTCTTTCAAGATAGAGTCTCTCAAACTATCTTCCCCAGGCTGGCTTTGAACATTGATCCTCCTGATCTCTGCCCCCTGAGTAGCTAGGATTATAGGCGTTAGCCACTGGCACTCAGCTCATTTTCTGTTTCTTGACCAGGACAGTGGTTCATAGGGACATTCATTCATCAAACTGTACAATTACCATTTGTGGCTTTTCTGGATGTATATCATACCATAATTTTAAAAATTATCTTAAAATTCATACACAAGAGTTGGGTGATGGTGGCTCATACCTGTAATCCCAGCTACTCAGGAGGCGGAGATGAGGAAGATCCTGGTTCAAGGACAGCCCAAACAAATAATTTGTGAGACCCTATCTCAAAAACACTCAACACAAAAAAGGGCTGGCAGAGTGGCACAAGTGATAGAGTGCCTGCCTAGCAAGCATGAGGCCCTGAGTTCAAACCCCAGTACCGGAAAGAAAAAAAATACCTTGACTGTCACCTTTCCCCAAAAAAATTCAAACTCAATTAGCTATATAAAAATGTACCATCTTGCTGAGTGATGGTGGATCACACTTGTAATCCTAGCTACTCAGGAAGCAGAGATCAGGAGGATCAAGGTTCAAAGTTAGTTCGAGAGACCGTATTTCCGAAATACCCAAAACAAAGCAGGGCTGGCAGAGTGGCTCAAGTAGTAGAGTGCCTGCCTAGCAAGTGTGAGGCCGAGTTTAAACCTCAGTACCACCAAGAAAAAAAAAAAAGTAACATCTTAATTTCATGTCCTCTTACATACACTCGAAGACGTGCATGTGAAGACTTCGCCCTTGGCAATCACGCCCACTCTGAGGACGCTTAGCTTCTCTCCCCAGCCCGGACAGCTTCCCTCAATTCAAGCATGTGGACCTAACTGCCTACTGGACATGTCCATCTGAATGCCTGACAGGTATCTCAAATGTAGCTCGGTCCAAAAGAAGCTCCTGATCTTCATCCCTCCCACACCAACACACCACTCCTGAAATTCAAAGAAAATGTCTGGTGCAGATGAGAAAAATCTTAGCTACCACTTCAGTAAAAGGCAACTTTACCCCTCCAGTTATTCTGTCCAGAAACCCGAGAGCCACTCCTAACTCCTTATACCCCATACCCTATATCGAATCCAGGAGCCGATGAAGTGTCTCTGACCCTCCACCCTGCCACCACCCTGGTCTAACACCATCTAGATCTGAGCAACCGAGCCCAACGCAGAACCCTACTTCCCCCTTTGCTCTACCCCAGACCCCAGCAGCTCCAAGAGATTGTCAGAACAGAGATGAGGTCCTCCCACTTCACACATAAGTTCTCCAAGGGCTTCCTAAACCACATGCATAAAAGTCAAAATCCTCAATACGACCAACAAGGCCCCCGGCTCTCCTTCTGCAGGCATTCTCTTCCTCACTTCCCATTTTGCTCCTACACCCTCCTTTTGCTCTCTAGATCAGCTATGCTGGCCTCTGGGCTGTTCCTCGAACACTCTAAGCAAGCTCTGCCTGGAAGCTCTTCACCCTAACTCCCCCTGCCTGAAATGCTTTATCCCACACTTCCACAGGCTTGTCCTTACCTCCCTCCTCAGGTCCTTATTCAAATGCCACCTTCTCAAAAAAAATCACACACGCGCACACACACACAGCACTCTCCATGTTATTTTCCTCCTCAGTACTTGACACCATCTAATGTATCGATTATTACCTACTTACAGATGATCTCTGTCTCCCACTAGAATGTAACTTCTAGGAGAGCAGGAATTTTTTTGTTGTTTACTTATGTATCACTAGTGACTAAAAGACTGCCTAGCACACAATATATGCTCAAGAAATCGTTGAAGGAAAAAAGGAAACACTAAGAAAAAAGAGCTTTACTAGTGAGTGCTTTCAATTCTCCCAATAGTGAATTTTCTTAGTTGAACCACTGAACTTTGAAAAGAGTGCTGGAAGCATAGCTCAAATGGTAGAGTGTCCTACCTGCCTAGCAAGCACAAAGCCCTGAGTTCAAATCCCAGTGCCATCAAAAACAAATAAATAAAATAAAATTTGAAAAGACCGTATGGTGCATGAAATAATAATGTGGTTCCCTTTTTTCCCCCTCCTATACATGACTAAACCCTTTTGACCTGATGTAATCCTGGCAAAAAGTTGCCATTTACCCACCCCTTTCAGATTCACCATTACCACCACAACCACCAGCAACGACAATCAACATTATTCTTGGGTACCAGATTTATGTCTGGCCCAACACTGTGTTCTTTCAACAGTACCTACATCAACATTAACAAACTCAAGAAAGATCAGCCTATGAAAATGAACAACTTGTAACAAAAATAAGACTGCATTCCTTGAGAAAAAATCTCCAGGATCCAAAGAAACTGATTCCTCTTCAAACACAGTTTTGGCAAACTTTCATGAAAAGGTATGGCAAAAGAACTATTTAGTTGGGTGGTCATCAATTCAGTTTTTAAGTCTTCGTGTTTGTTTTTTGTTTTTTAATCACAAAGTAATACAAATTTGTTATAAAAAGACAATTGGAACATAGCAGATCCCACCTAAATCTCAATTCCCTTGTGATAAAATCCTTCCATGATTTTTCCGTCCATTTGTAAAGACATAGATATTTCTGTTTTACAAAAATGAGATCCTACCATCTAGACTCATCATCTCTGGCTCTCTGTACACTTCTGAAAATTGGTGGGCTCAAAAAACCTTAGTTTACGTAGGTTATCTCAATATTTCCTTACCATATTAGAAGTTTAAACCATATTTATTCATGTAAAAATATTTCATTATTTCTAAAAAATAACTGTTTTTCCCCAAAAAGTGGACTTTCTGGATAACTGTAGTTATCCAGTTATCAAAGACTTGATAAGCGACTGACCTCAGGTCCTTGGCACCTGGCAAGTGCTCTTCCAATGAGCTAAATCCCCAACCCGAAATGGCAGTTTCTTAAAGGCTGACTGCCAGGTAGGATCTGAAGGCATACCAATGAACTTCTATATTCTACAGCATTCAGTTCTATTTGCACATCTTGTACTCTGAATGGATCTTTCACCTTTGTGTGATTTCCTACCACGTATCTATCGTTTAGAAAATACTGGTTCACTGGTTTACATGTAAGTTTCAAATAATACATTTGATTATAAAATATCAAAATATCACATTTGTAAATACTACCACTGGTCTCTACATCACAGTGGCAGATACAAGTTCTCCAAAATCCTAATTTTCGCTGGAAAGCTTAAAATTTCATCACCAGCAACAAATACTACCAGTTGTCTTCCTTGAAAGATAACCATAGGTTGTTAGTTACAGTTTTGAATAAAAATTGTAGTTCATGAAAACAGTGGCTAGTTCAGTTTGCAACTCAAATAATCACCCAAGTGCTTTCCCTGGAAAGAGCCACCATACTTCCTTCAGTACACAGCTGAAGCACCTTACACCCAATACCCATTCGATCCCATGAAATATTAAAAAGATACATACACAAGCGTTAAGAGCTCATAAAATTAGGAATTCTTGCTGCTTCATTAAGGCTACTCTTTAGCAAAAGCACATTTCAATTTTTCTGTTGTTGTCTTGTAGTGAGTGTGTATCACGAAGAATAAGACGGTACTAGTACAGTTAGCTGCCAGGGCTTTGACTCCTGCTAAGATGCCTGCCTTGCACCATTAGTGCAAATGTCAATAGTGAAGGAAGCAATAAGATTTTAGAATTGTACCAGTAAGAAACCAGTTGTAGCCTCTCAGCCCCCTGAAGGGCAGCAGAGACCTATGGGAACAACATTGTCGCACACTGGTTCCCTAGAATTTAGATTACTGTTCACTGAAATGTGCATTTAGCCAAAACTCTCCAAAAAGTCTGCACCTATTTTCACCAGCACTGTCACAGTTAAGATGCACATGGTTCCCTCTTTCACTAATTTGGGAAGATTATAACATATGGCCACATCTGCCTGCCTAAACCCAATGCTAAAATAGAACCGATGTCCCAAGGCAGAGTAAAATCCAGGTACCAGATTTACAGAGATGCAAAGCCTCAGCTGTCAAACACAAATTCATCCAAAAGTGCCCTCTCTTTATTGCAGCCATCCGTTGGTAAGAGGTACTCAGGGTTGAATTTCCAAGTATGTGCCACGTGCACACATCCTACATTTGCTTAAAGGGTGACATTTTAAGGTATTTTAATATTGACATTTTAAGATATTTTAATATTAAGTACACAGCTGGAAAATGTCAGTGTGTAACAGCACAAACAAGACCCTAATTAATTGGTTCCTGGCTGGCCTCTGCCACATATATTGGTCTAAACTGACCCTTACCTTTAACTGCACACAGAATCACTGAAGTCAACAATATGACAACGTGTACTGTCAGCACCCAAATGTCAACTATGTTCATAAAAAATGTCAAAGACAACCCTTATTGCCCCAAATGTCATTCTAAATAGGGGAAAGGAAAGTAAAATAAGTAGAAGCTGTGTATCCTCAGCTCACAAGGAATGCTACTTGTCCCTCCACTTTTCCATGTAACTCCAAAGTGAACTAGGTTCTGTGGCTCTTAACTTTTTGTGGAGCATAAACCACTTGAGAATCATAGTTCTCTGCAGAAAAGCAGCAAAGGGGATGAGTCCATGCCTTTAGTTAAGAGTAGATGACAGAACTATGGATTCAAAGAAACCACCTAAGTCCAAATCCTCAGGAAACTGAGGCCCTGGAACAGTAAAATGACTTACTTGTCCCAGGTCAACAGTGAGTTATAAGTGGAATCAAGAAATTAGCAACCCAAACAAATTTTGAAAAAAGGCTGAAATTTTCTGAAAAGTTCTATGAGAGAACTACAGTAACAAAAAATACCAAGTAGAACTGGAAGGAACTGACACAAGTTCCAGAAAATTCCTTGATGGCTTAGGCTGAATGGGTAAGGAGAAACATGACCAGAAATCTTGAAAAGCACTCACCGTGTTCCACAAAGACATTGCAGTGTGGTCCTCCATGCCTGGATGATTCCTTCCTTCCTGCTCCTTTGATAAAGTGCAGGGCAGGCAAACTTGGCCTTCTTTGGTCCCCAAGAACTTTTCCAGGCTGCTGCCCCATAAAGCAGTGATAGGCACCCCTTTCCAGAAGAGGGTTTAAGATCTTCCAGAAGGGACAAAGGGCTTAGAAGGGAAAGGTAATGTACGAAGAATTTCACATTCACCACATCTGCTCAAGTCAGTAACTGAGGTCAATCACAGAAGGACATCTTCCATGACAAAAGAAAGCAGAGTTTTAGGCTGACATGTGTAAACAGGAGTTCCAATTATTTCCCCAGTTTTTCTCAATTTGAAGGACTGTAACTGCAACGTTACCCAAAAGTTTCTTGATTTTAAGTATATTTTACGGACTGAGTAACAGTTTGTCCTAAAGAAGAAAAACTTACAAATATTCACAGGAGATGCTGAAAAGTGTCAACTATACCAAAATCATTTTGATTCCCAGGCATAAAGGAACCTGGATCGTCTTTGGATGCTTCTCCAGAACTTCTCCTGTGGAAGTCACCAACATCCTAGCTTAGTTTCTCCATCTTCCAACAAATTTCCTTTTGCTCTCCCTTCCCTGCCCTACTCTCCGGAGCTTGCCCTCCACTCGGACGAGAAGGAATGCATTGCCAGCAACTTTTAAGTCCGCTTTTTAAAAGGCCTGTGAAACCAATCCAGACTTTTCCTCTGCATTGAAGTTTTTGGCTGCGCTGAGACCAAAGCGGCCGTAGGCGACATTGGAAGAAGTCAGGGCATCAGAGGCTCGTGGGAGCAACCCGGGACAGAGGAGGCCTCTTGACAGCAGGGAGGGGATTTGAACTGGAGGCTCCGTGGCCAACCGTGGAGCCAGGAGCCACAGCAAGGGGCGGCTGCGGCGTAAAGGTGAGAGGGGGGATTACTCGAGGGGCTACGCTTCTCCACGCCTCAGAAACGGGGTGGCCCAGGTCAGGGGAAACTGAGGCCACCCCCAGTGTCCCAGAGCCGGGTCAAGGCTGTAAGGGACGAAGGACTCTCGCGGCCCCGAAGGCGGCCACCGGGGGGAGGAGGCCCGGCCGCCTCAGCTGCCCCGAGCCCAGGGGTCTCTGCCCCAGACACCCCCTCCCCCGGCCCCGGACGCTGCCACCGCCGCCGCCGCCGCCGCCGAGCAGTCACATCCCCGAGCTCTGTCAAGGGACCAGCCGCTCCCGCCGGTAAGGGCCGTGGACAACGGAGGAGCTCCTCAGCCGCAGGACCCGGGAACCGGTTCCGGCTCCAGCGCTGCTCAGGGATAGACACCGAGCCCCGCAGCCGCCATGATGGATTACGAGCCGCTTCACAACGAGGCCAGGCCCCGCCCCCGATCCCGCCCCCAGCGACGTCTGGAGCCCACCTCGTGGGACCGAGAAGTCCCCAGCACCGCTTTTTCGGTACGCCGCCGCACCTTCCGGCGCTGGCTTCACTACCCGAGAGAGACCGGCCCAGCACGACCTTTTAAATGTGGCTTTTCGGAGCGCAAGGTGACCGGTGAGGAAGCGCCCACCTCCTCTGCACTGCCATTGGCCCGCAGGAATCCGAGTCATGTCGCTCTCTTCCGTCCCATTGGTCGGTGAGGGCAGTAGGGCGAGAGCTGCCCTCCAACCGCTTTCGGCGCCACCGCGGGGCGTATCGGGAGCTGTGGTCCCCGGCGCCCTCGGGTCCAGCACAGACACTTCTCGCCCTCTGATCCGGGCCCCTGAGCTGCGGCCCCGCCTCCTGGGAGCCGGTGGACTCCGGTCCGCCTAGCGTTGAGAGGCCAACTTCACCACTGCGCGAGCTGCAAGACCAGCGAAGAGCCAGAGCGAGGGGAAAACTGCGGATTGGATTTTCCCAGAACCGGAATTGGTACTTCCTTGAGCCTCTTCAGGGGAGAAAAAATTTGGCTTGCTCCGGCAAACCAAGGTATTTGGTGCCTTTTGTCCCTTCACCCCCCGCCCCCCCCCCGCCAAATCGCATAAATATTGGAACCAGCAAAGAAATCTTAAGAACGCAAGCACAAAGGAACAATGGTTTGTCTCTTTGGGGTACCAGGAAGCTCACTCATTGAAGAAACAGTGTTCAGAGGGTATGCCAGGGTAAATTATAGATGTCTGCGCTAGAATGAACCTTTAATGGTTCAAGGTGAACACCTATCTGCATAAACACATCTCTACGTTGGATGGGAAAAAAAAATGCCCAGACTGGGTTTCACAGGCCTGTATAGCTAGCTAGTAACCTAAATGCACCAAACCTGCACCTGTCATAATTCATCTGCAACTAGAAAGTACCTGGTCCCCTATTCCTATCCCCATGTCCTACAATGGAGCACCTCATCAGGATATACCCATTTCGAAGGGGATCTGTTCATCACAGCATATGCTCTGTACTCAGCACGGTTAGCACCTTTCACGAACCGTTATCTCACTTAATCCTCACTCTAGCCCGATGAGGCTTGTCATATTCACCGCTACACAGATGGGAAAGATTCAGACCCGTGACATATTGAAGGTCTCTTCTCTAGTCTGTGACAAGGTCAGTACTTCAGCCCAGATTAACCTTGTTCCAAAACGCATGGTCTTTCTACAGTACCATTCAGTACCAAATAACTGTTTAGCTAATGTTAGACAACTTCAAAAATTGCTTCTGATGCCAGGGGGCACCATGGCTCCACTGAGTGTTGTACATTCAGCTAAATGCTTAGAGATATTTCTGCCAGACTAAGAAATGGCATTTACTTTTGATAACACTTCGATTACTAGACCTAAGTCACAAGGAGATACTGAATGTGAAGCATATGAAAATTTGTGTCCACACTTAGAACTGGAATCTACAAATTCAGATCTTAATTAGTTTAGCTTTGTTCACTCTCACAAAATAATCTGGCTGGCAGATTACTGATTCAGATGGTAATAGTTTGGCACTTAGTTCTGTAGCATCACTCTTCAAACTCAGTGTTTTTGTTCCCCTCTAGATTATCTACCCCAGCTCATCCTGAATACTTTTCTTTTCGAAAATTTTACTTACTTGTATGCAACACCTAATTATTTCCTCCACATCTGCATTCTTCATTCTCTGATTTAGCTTAAAATTGGGCAATCTTTCTAATACACATTTCTTAAACAATTCATTTAACAAACATTTACTGAGCACCTGTCCTAGGTGTTGAGATTCAGCAAGGGGGTGGAAAGTGAGGTGCCTCTATCCTCCAGCAGCACACAGGGAGACAGGCAGTAAGCAAAATAAGTGATGATGCAAACAAGATTTGTCTCAATGCCAGAAGCTAAAACTCTGGATCATAACCTGTTCAGTCACTCAAACCTTCCTTTATGAAGGACTGTTTTATGACACTTCTCTAGAGCTTAAATCTCTTCCTGATTCAGTCACCCTTGGGCTTATCAAGTCACTTTACTTCTCCGAACTGGTTTCTTCACAGAGAAGCAGGAGCCATATTTACTTACTTTATTCAGTTATCCTGAGGTCAAACTAGATCTTGCTTGGTTTCAGACTGAGGGATATGTCACGGTAGTTACTGTAGAGGTCATCTGCACTTGACTTAGAGCCTTGTCTCTAATCTCATTTTCTACTTTTAAGTGAGTTCCAAGGCCAGACTTTTTTTCTAGAGACCCACTGTAGCTTTTAAATCCTTGTGTAACACTGTAGAATGATACTTTTAAAACTACAATCTAGAACCCAGCAAATGACTGATAGAAATGTTACCCAATGTTGAAAGAAACCTCCTAAAGCTCATATAAACTTTATTAAAAGTGGTTCAGCTTGTTCTCACTTTTATAAAGCAAGGCTCCGTGACAGTGTAAGAATTTCATCTTATCTCATTTCTCAGCCTGCTGGAATTACTTAACAAGGGCGCCCTCTAGTGGGCCACAGAAAGCAGGCACTCTGATCTTTGTATGGCAGATTCTTTATTCAGCAGATACTGAATAAAAGAGTTTGGACTGCAGCTTGGGAGAAACCTGGCGAGGATGAATCCCACTCCTCATTCCATTCATTTCTTCTTTCAAGAGGTACACAGCCTGATGCTGGTGGAGTGGCTCAAGTGGTAAGAACACCTGCTTTGCAAGTGTGAGGCCAAATTCAAACCCCAGTGCCACCAAAAATAACAACAAAAAGAGTATACAGCCTGAAACTTCTCAAAAACATGACAGGTGAGCCGACCTAAAGTTGCAAACATTGCCTATGGAATATTCAACTGACTGCAAATTCCTCAAAACAGGTGAATGGCTAAAACAAAAATGAGATTAAAAAGTGGTCTATCAACTAATGTTACAAAGAAACATACTACGTGATGAAAATGACCCCAACTGTATTTCAAAACTGTAGAATGCAAAGTTACTACCACTGAAGCCGTCCTAGGTTTGTCCTGAAGGCAGCTATGCTACTGAGCCCTCCTCCAACTGTATTCAGCCACTCATTACCCAGAACCCAGGAGCACAAACGAACATGAAGACAGTCTAGAGTACCAAAGCATTCCTCAGTACTTCACAGATGGGAAATACGACAGTAGCTGCATACATGGTGCCTTTAAAAAATGCTCCCAACACCTGAGCCAAGTACCATTTTTAAATAGTCATCAGAAAAACAGGCACAGGAATGCTAACATTCCTCAGAAGTTTACTATCTTATTTTTATCTTTTAGCCCTAGAATATTCACAAGTTAACGCATCACTACTTCAATTACAGGAAGAAAATGGCTTTGCTTTTCCCATCTCCATTTTCCTTAGGGTTTTCTCCACGTTTACTAGAACACCCAAACATACAGTGGCTCCAGAACACTCACTCTCAGCTTCTTACAAACCGACCTCACAGGCGGGACAAAGTAAAGCAGCCCGGTATGGATTCTTCCAACCTACCATTGCAAGGAACATGCAATGGGAAATGAGATTCCAACCAAGCAAAAGGCCACTTTATTCTTCTATTTGACTTCTGGGCTAATTTTACCAACTGCATTCTTCAATAACACACTTGCAGTTTAAAGGAGATGGAGTAGAAGCCAAAACAGACCATTTGGGAGTCAGGGATGCCATGTTTTCTATGGGGCTATTTCATGGCCCTTGTGACTCTGTGAGGATGGTGAGTGGAAGACAAAGAATTCTCCATATTATTCCAGTATGGGAGGTCATTTGACTGGGAAACTGGGTGCTCCAAAAGACCAGAAACCATCCCCTTGTGCGGGAACTTGGCCAGGACCCAAGGAGCCAGAAGCACCGTTCACTTCCACCCAGGATGTCTTAGAACAAGAGAGCGCAGGCCTGTGGGCTGGAGGCAGCCTTGTGGCAGTGATACAGATGGGTAATGAGTTTGTCAGATCCTCCTCGACCACTGACTCTTGGCCACTTCCAAAAACAGCTCCAGTGAGATACACAGTCCCATCTTCAGGAGCCTCTCCTCAGCCCTCCTGTTCCAAAAGCCTCTGGCGAGTTTCCAGCACAATCTCCTCCATTATTTCTGGTTTTAAGATGTCTTTGATCTAAAAAAGACAGAAAATGGTACAATGTTTTGTAAACTAACCACAAGCAGACCACCAAGCCAACTCACACACAGAAATTAAGCATGGTTAACATAAACCTCCTGTGGTCTGCACCTTGATCAGAGACTAGGTGTTATAGGGTATGATACACCAGACCCAGCTTAATAATCAGCAAGATTCCCTGGGCTATAGGTGACAAGAACAAAGATACTATTTTCACATCCGTTAAAAAGATGGCTGAAATTAAGAACGGGCAAGATGGTTGCTGTCATAAATGAGTAGTCCAACCTGGCACCTCTGCCCCCAACCCAAACCTCAGTCCAACGCTCACTAGGGCTGTCCCCCAGGCCAGGTCCTGCTGATGTATATAGGACACATGACTGAGGAAACACAAGCAGCTCACAGAGCAGTGAGGAAAAGGAAGCCCAGTGGAGCACCTGATGGGGAAGGGAGGCCTCATAGCAGTACAGGATGCTGGTATCATACAGCATCATCCTCTGAGTCACCAGCAAGACGATGCAGTTCCGAAGCCGGGATATCACCTCTCGGTCAGCAAGAGAGACAGGCTGTGAGGGAGACACAACAGGGAAGGGAAAGGAAATACAAACAGGACCAAAATAAGCGAACAGTCCCAGGAAGTCACAGAAAAAAGATTATGACTCAAACAGTATCACTCTGGGACTTCAAGCCAATCAAACAGCTAACGCCAAGGGACATTAAAAAGGGTGGTTTCAGGCTGAGGTAGAGCGCCTGCCTAGCAAGCATGAGGCCCTAAGTTCAAACCCCAGTACCACCAAAAAAATAAATAAATAAAGAGGAAAAAAAGGTGGCTTCTCCAGTGCCTCTTTGGCTGTTACCCTGCAACTCTGTCGTTTCTGGCAACAAAGATCAAACCAGCCACTGAGTTCATCTGTTCAGAGAAGGCAGTATGAACACTCCTCAACATAAACTCAAACTCAGACTACAGCAGTAACACACAGACACACACCACAAAGTGATGTTACACATCACAGACCAAGTACATAAGGATGGCCTCCTAATATCAAACCACCAAGACATGGGAGCATGCTTTATGAGTTAATACAACAACAAAACTGAACGCCGCCACTTCTCAAAAGAGCGGCAGAAGACAGTTTAAAGAAAGCACAGTGGAGACAGCATCACTCCAGCCCACGAACAGCAACAAGGGTTACTCACTTCCAGGTTGGCGATGAAGCCCCCGGCATCCTCGTCTTTGTGCTCTGGTGTCGGGTAGATCCAGATGAAGCCGTTGTTACCCAGAATCACCGAGGCACCACATGGCAAGTCATGGAAGTGAGTCTTCTGCCGTTTTACCAGGGAGGGCGAAACCTGGACCAAAACCCCCTGACCTAGCTAAAGAAACAGATGGTGGCTGGGTTGCTGTGGGATCATTAGCAAGTGAGTGAGAAGCCGGTTACAGAACACACACCCCAGTTACATCTAAACCAGTGCCCTTCCTGCTCGTCACATACAAAGTGTGCAGTTTTTGCAGAAGAATTTCTGGATATATAGGCTGTTTATATATCCTAAAAGCAGCTGACTGTCAATACTCTATCACTTCCCTCTGCAGTCACCATTACCTCCTATCTAAGGCAGGTGTGCAGGCTGCTAGAGAAGCTGGGACCACTCAGGATGTGCACCACAGCCTCCCCACTGGCCAAGGAACACTGTCCTGTTACCTCAAGTATGTAAACAGAGCTGGCCATAGCCACTCCATCAAGGGAAGAGGTTTTTATTCCTCTCAGAAACTAAAGAGGTTCACCCAGACAGAGCCAAGAGACTAATACATCACATCATAACATTTTTTAGGAAGCATGCTCTTTAAAAAATAAATAGGCTGGATAACGTAACCTCATACAAGAAAAGCAGTGATGTTTCATTTAGAGGCTTAGATGACAAACCAATCTTTCCTAGCAATAACATCATATTAGCTGAACTACTGACTGTAGACTAAGGGCCAAAACTGCCCTGTGTCACAGGCCTCGCCTCCCTTTGTTCTGGGAACAGCCTCCCAGGTTGGGTCGGAGCCTCCCTTGAAAGAAGCAGAGCCTTACAGTACCAAACAGAGGAGTTCTGCCAGAACTGTCTTCCCAGGAGGAAAGGATAAAAGTCAGCACCTTTTACAATGCCACTGACCCATGGAAATCCCCACCTTCTTCCTCCTAAGCTCTGGGGACACCATCAAGCTACATATGGGATGCCAACCTTAGTGCTAAACTACTGGGTTCTTTTCTTTTCGCTCTCTTGATACAGGGTCTTGTTATGTAGCCCAGGCTGGCCTTGAAATCTTCCTGCTCAGCCTCCTAAGTGCTGGGGTTACAGGTGTGCGTCACCATGCCCATCCAACCACTTGGGTTCTACTAGGGAGCTATTGGAAATGGACTTGAAATCCAAGTCAACAAACTGGAATAGCAAGAGCCCAACTTACTTTTCCATATTTCAGGCTCCTTGTGTGCAGAGAGACAGCTCCATCAGAGAACACTGCTTGGACCTCAGCCTGGCCAAGGTAATGAAGGAACAAACGGCAGATTCGGCAGCCTGCTGTCACGTCACCTGCCCTCCTGCCCCCATACCTCCATCTTTCCCTCCCATCAGCAACAGTGCACCTCAGGTATCTTCAGTGGGCCCAGAGGACATCAGTGTGCCCTCACCTCTCCCCTTGGCTGATGTATCTTGATATGAACATCACCTTTTCTCCTCCCTGGGGAAAAGCTAACATCACTGGGAAAGCCTGAGTCTACAGTCCAGGAAACCACGATTTAGAAAACCCAGAAAGATGGTAGATCTGAAAAAGAACTGAGGCATCCTCCTGAGTTAGTGGACAGAGAGGGCCACAGAGAGCTCTAGACAGTTGACTCAGGACTCAGATCCCTATAAGGATTAAATTCCTTCTGTCATGGAAGACAGTGTGAGCCCCATTTCCAGGCCCCCAGGAAAGCAGCAGGAGGCTAGACTACAAGACGCAGGATACACTGATAAGGTCCCCTTCTTGCAAGAACCCTCTCATGGCAAGCTCATCTTCTGCAGACCTTCTCCTCTGAAACACAAGAGACAGCCACATTACTCCATGACAGCTCCCGTGCTCCTGCACAGACAGTGACCTCCAGCTTGGCTGCATCTCTGCTCACTCATTTCCCGTCAGCTCAGATTCCCTGAACTCATTTAAATTTTCTCCATCCTTCAAGGATCAACTTCAGTGTCACTCTTTCCTATGAGTTTCTCTGACTGAAATTAGTCACCTTTTATACCACACACTTGTTTATTGTCCTCCTACCAGGTGCATGAATGAGTTATCTTATATCCCCAGCCAGTCTGTAAAATCTTTAAGGAACTCAATCATATCTCCTTTGTCTTAGGACCCAGCACAGTGAGCCTCTCTGACGTATATGCTGAACTGAATCACGGTATTGTACAAAATATCATGCAGCTATCTGGAATAACCAAACACCACTCAATTCACAAAAAAACTAGAAAACTTTTCAAGAAACACCTTCACTGTGCAAAGCTGATACAGCAGCAAAGGGAAATTATTAGCCCCAAGAGTTAAGAGCTTCTCTCCCCAACTCTCTTTGGGATCCCACTCCATGGTTGTTTCTGATCTTACCACACTCCAGGTGCTGCTTATGTTGGGAGACCAGGACCAGGTGAGAAGTCTTCATCTACCTCAGACAACAGACTTCATGACCAACCTCAGCATAGAGCAAAGTTCTCTGTGGAGCAAAGGGCCCCACAGCTCTCACTGGCCACATGCACAGTTCTAAGACCCCAGAATCCTTACCAACTCTCCTCCAGGCAAATTCATGGATGAGAGAAGCAAGACTGAGTCCAGCCGGGAATTCGTCTCCACCTTCCATCTCTTCTGCTGAACCTACAAGCAAACAGTTCCACACCTGATGGACTGGAAGTGTAGCTCAACCAGTACAGTGCCTGCTTTGTAAGCTTAAAGCCCTGAGTTCAAACCCCAGTCCCACCAAAACAAAGAAGAAAATTATTGCTGGGCACTGGTGGTTCACACCTGTAATCCTGCTACTCAGGAGGCAGAGATCAGGAGGCTTGTGGTTCAAAGCCAGCCCAAGGCAAACAGTTTGAGAGACACCATCTTGAAAAAACCCAACACAAAAAAAGGGCTGGTGGAATGGCTCAAGAGAAAGAGCTTGTCTAGCAAGCGTGATACCCTGAGTTCAAGTCCCAGTACTGTGCATATTTAAAAAAAAAAATGTTCCACAGACTCACAGGGCAGGGCAGGAGCTCACATCATAAATGACCAGTAACTTCAAATATAACAAGTCAGAGGCCACACAACAGCCAAAGACAAGAAATACCTTTTTCATATGGCTACACACAGCATAACCATCCCACTCGCCAAACCACCAGCTTACATTACCCGCGATGATACTGGCTTTACCTCTGTGATTCTCCCCACAACAATGTCTCCTACTTCACCATTGTATCTGAAAGATAAACAGAAGGTCACCCATCAGTGAACAGGCTATCTTACAAGACCAAGCACCATTTAGGATTTGAGGAACAGGATGAGTCTCAAGCCCCACATTTAGCAAATTTATACAACTATGGTATTTGGACTTATTTTCAGAAATTGAAACTTGAAAACATCTCTATGTACATAAATCTTTATTAACTATCCTTCAACAAATCACTTATGACAAATAGTTCCTGTAGCCTAAAACCCCTGATTTGTTAAATTCCGTAACAATGGGAATTAAGGAGCTTTTTCTGGAAGGACATGATGGGGTCTGCACCAGCTGAAGGAAGAGAAAGGGGATTCTGAGACAGGTCACTATCCAAAGGGGCTTATGCCGTGTCTCCCCAGTCACTGCCTGTGTGGCTCGGCCCTCTGCTAATTCTTCGTCCCCAATTCTAAAAATCAAGTGCTCCACACTGAGGCCCGGGCTGCAGGCCACTCTTCTTCCACCCACACCTCTCTCGCCTGTGGTGAGCTCACCCAGTGTGATGGCCTTGCAACACCACTGAGGACAGCATTCACTCCCAGGTTCTGTTCCACCTCTACTGCCTGCCATTACCATGTGGATCACTCGAGGGCATTTTCAAACGTAACAACCCCAAAACAAAGCTTTCCAGTAGACCCCACCCCTCCTCCACAGCAAACTGCCCCTTTTCTGTCATCCTCAGCTCAGTAAAATGGTGACTCCATTCCCCAGATCCCAGGCCAAAAACCTTGGAGTCACCCTTGATTCCTCTCTCCCACACTGGGACAAGTCCATCAATAAATCTTTCTGGCTCTACCCTTAAAATGTATTCAAAAATACAAGGCATCCAAATTGGAAAGGAAGAACTAAAACCATCTCGATTCACTCCATTCAGTAACCTTAAACAAATCACCTATCACAAGTAAGTGATGGTCCTATGTAGTGAAAACCCAAAGAATACAAAATCCAGTACCCTTTCGTGATTAAAAAATTCAGAAAACTATATGCAGAATCTAATCACTACTTCCCCACTTCCATGCTGCTACCCTAGTCCAAGCTGCCAATACTTCAGATGATGAATATGGTCCCCTAATTCATTCCTCTAAACCCTCCCCTGTCTACCTTCAATCTCCCCACCGCAACCAGAAAAATCTGATTAAAACCTAAGTCAGAAGCTGGGTGCCAGTGGCTCCCACCTGTAATCCTAGCTACTTGAGACTCACATTGGGAAGATCAAGGTTCTAGGCCAGTCTGAGTAAATATTTCTCAAGACCCCATCTCCAAAATAACCAGAGCAAAATGGACTGGACGTGTGGCTCAAGCAGTAAAGCTCCTGCCTTATCGGCACGGAGCCCTGAGTTCAAACCCCAACGTTACAAACAACAAACAAAAAATGCCAGGCACCAGTGGCTCACATCTATAATCATAGCACTCAGGAGGCAGAGATCAGGTGGATCTAGGTTGAGGCCAGCCTGGGCAACAAAAATGAGACCCTATCAAAAAAAAGGACTGGTGGAGTGGCTCAAGTAGTAGAGCACCTGCCTGGCAAGCATGAAACCCTGAGTTCAAACCCCAAAACAACAACAAAAAAAAAACCTAAGTCAGATCACAGACATTCCCTGTTCCACCACTTCCACTGGCTTCCCAGATCACAGGAAGTAGAAGCCCAAATGTTCACCATGTCTACCAGACAAGCCAACCATTTGTCCAGCTCAGTCTCTACTCTCCCCTTCACCTCCCCTTTGCTCATTCCTTCAGCTCCACTGGCTTCCCCTCTGGAACTAACCTTTATGGACCACTTCTTGATACTCTGCTCTGTGCGAAGTACTCTACACGCACCATTTCACTGAATTCTAACAAAAATCCTCTGAAGTAGGTCATGCTACTCCCCTCACACTGCAGAGGAGGCAAGTAAAACTTAGAGAGGTCAGCAACACAGCACTGACCTCCACTACCCCCCCTATAGTCACATTCAAAATTGCAGAACTGCAGCAAGACAAGGCAGGTAGCCAGGGGATGCAAGGAAAGGGAAGGCAGAAAGGACCTGGTTATACAACACAGACTCACAAGAGAGAATACACACCTTCTGATCTCACCTGGTTTTCAAAGCTTTTACACATATCAACTTGTTTACTCTCTCCACAGAGCCAGCCACAGATGCGATCAGCTTCTCTTCTCCCATGTACGTCCCATGGCCCCTATTTGCAAGATAAAAACACAAAGAAAGGACACTGATGTCACACCTGAGGTGACCTCTCCCATCAAGAACAATGTGATCGACAGAGCATGTTGGGTTGGCACATGTCTGTCATCCCAACCAAACGGGAAGTCTAAATAGGATTGTGGTCCAGGCCAGCCAAGGCATCAAACTATTTAAAAAAACAACTAAAGCAAAAAGGGCTGGGAGTGTGGCTCAAGTGGTAGCAAATATTAGGCACTGAGTTCAAATCTCAGTACCACCAAAAACAAAAAAAGAGATGTATTTCTCAAACCTCATAGGCCCTCCTGCCCTCAAGCCTGCAGCCCTCTGTCATCTTACGCATGTCTGCTCATGTCAACTTCTCCAGCAGGCCTCCCTCCACTAACCCTCCTACTGCCACCACCACCACCACAGTCCCCTTACCCTGCTCCACTCTTTTTTCCTACTTCATTTATCACCAAATATTACGAAAAACTTAGGTGTCCCTGTTAGAACACAAACTCCACCAGGACAGAGATTTTCACTAAATTCACTATTATAGACCAGCTTTCGAATCCTGAGGTTGCTAGCATCCAATAACCTGAAACTAAGAGCTTCAAGAGCACTGCTATAAATACTGCACCCCTCCTTATGTTCACATGCACAAAACACACACCCCAAAAGTGAACTGCCACTAGTGCTTAGGACAGTGGCATTAATGGTGGATTTTGCTTTTTTTCTTACATTATCTCATTTAATCTTCACTACCCTACCAAATAGTGACTGTTTGCCTCACAATCTCCCAGGTGAGGAAGCTGACCTTGGAGAGGTTAATCCAGCTAATACCAATATAGCAGGACTAGAAGCCGGCTGGCTGGCTGACGCCACAGCCTGCCCTCATAACTACCGAACTCTGTTCTGCTCTTATATGCAAAGTTTCTATAATTGGATGCACGTGGCACCATGTCTGCCCTAAGCCCAGGTACTGATCCAAACCCAAGCCACTGCCTGGTGTGGGGCACATCTGTAATCTCAGCACTCGGGAGGGAGGAGCAATGGGATGAAGAATTCGAGGCCAACCTGGCTAGACAGCGAGTTGCAGGCTACCCTGTGCTACCTAACGGAACCCCAGTCTCAAAAAAAAAAAAAAAAAAAAAAAGCCTGAGCCCCTGGCTCCGGGATAGCACTCAAGAAGGAAGCCAAGGCGGCAACGCCCACTGCCCCCCTCCCACATAACTGAAAACTAAGAGCCCCCTGCTCTTAACCCTCCCCCAGTTCTCCCCGGAGGAAGGCGCAACGATCTGGGTTTCAGACAGCAGACCGGAAAGTCCCGGCCTGCTGAAAGTCGGAGGAAGGTTTCGGGGAACTGAGTCAAACGCAGACAAGGAACACCCAAGATTCAGGAAGAACGAGGTTCGGAAAACAGGCGACTGAGATACTCAGTAGATGTGCTCCGAGTCTGCAGAAACCTGGACGCAAGGGGACAGACAGGAGGCCCAAGTTCCGTTCCCGCAGGCCACGCGCAGAAAACTCCGCTACCGCTCCCCGCGGCGAAGGCCCCCCTCCAAATCCACACATACCTCATGAAGCCGGTGTCCGTAGTGATCGTGTCTCCCGGCACCACCAGGTGTTTCTTAGAACCGCGGCTCAGGCTCTCAGTAAGAGGCTTACGGGCCACTGGAAGCCTCATCTCCATCGCCATCTTGGCGCCAATGACTTGCGCAGGCGCAGCTCGGCTGAGAGGCGGGGTACCCTGCTCGGCAACGCCATCTGGTTATCCGAGAAGCCGGAAGAGGCGGGACCTCAGGGCAGCCGCCAATGGGAACGCACGGTCTGGCGGCCATGTTGACTATTGGCGATCATTAGGTTAACCTAAAGGGAAGGAGGGAACGGAGTTGCCATGTTTACTATTGGCAAAGGAGCACCTGTAGAGTAATAGACTCTCACGTTGTATAGTGTTGGAATTTTTACCCAAATTGTCTCGTAATCATCATCTTCTTTATTGTTTACCAAGACTAGATATTATTGAGAAAATAGTCCTCTTTCCGTCCAACTCTAAGTCGCTAACATCTGACTTTTTTTTTTTTTTGGCGGTACTGGGGTCTGAATTTAGAGCCTCATGTTTGTAGGCAAGTGCTCCATCACTTGAGCCGCTCCGCCAGCCCATTTTTCTGTTGTGTATTTTCTAAATAGGGCCTCCAGAACTATTTGCTTGGGGCTGGCTTCGAACAGCACAGCGATCTTCCTCATCTCTGCCTCCTGAGTAGCTAGGATTACAGGCGTGAGGCACCGGAGCCCGGCAACATCTGATGTTTTGTATAAGAGAGCTCAGGAGGATTGCGAGGTGGAATTTACAGAAAACACTATCTGAACAGAGGAAAAGCTCTTTGCCCTAATATCCTACCTTATAGCTTCCTAGTGGGCGCTGGTTCTAGCCTTCACTTCCACCCTCAAACAGCGCTCCGGATACCTCTCACTGCTGCTCTTTCATAACGATCTGTTCCGAGTGAGCTGACTCACTCCAGCATTTCTTTTGAAAAAATGACTTAAGGAAGCAAGTCGGGCCTGGCGCCTTGGCTCAAGCCTGAGGCCGAGTTCAAACTCCCCAAAACCGCAGAGAGGAGAGAGGAGAGGAGGGAGGGGGAGGGGAGGGGAGAGAGCCTGGATTGCAAGACAGCGGTGTTTGGTGGGAGAGCAAGAGCTCCCATAATACAAAGATCTTCATTTTCATTCACTCACGCAGCAAACTCAGCGCAGTGTGTGGTGCACGTTGTAAGGACTCAGCTTCGTTGAGCAGGAGCGTTTCCTTGCTCCCTTCTACCTGCCCTCCACTGCCTCTTGCCCTGCAAAGTTTACAGCAAACTGAATTTCAAACTCAAGCCCCGATTGGAAAGCATAATTCTCCACGCGCAGGGATTCTGAAGAAGATTAGATGAAAACCCAACCTTAAACGCTGTGGTCGGGAAATCAGGTAACTCAAGTCACTGCCACCTGAAGATCCCTCAGGCTTTTTTTTTTTTTTAACTCAGGGCTTAGCCCTTTGCAAAGCAGGCGCTCTACAGCTTGAGCCACACCTCCAGTCGATTTTGCTCTGAATATTTTGGAGATGGGGGATCTCATGAACTATTTGCTGGGGCTGGCCGCAAACTGTGATCATCCCCACCTCAGCTAGGATTACAGGTGTGAACCACTGAGACCTGGCTAGGCTAAATGTTTCATGAACCTCCTGAAGAACAGCATTTCCTTCACCTAACCAAGGCTCACAACTACCCTTGTCAAAAAGAACAACCCCCCTGGGCACTGGTGGCTCAGACCTGTAATCCTGGCTACTCAGGAGGCAGAGATCAGGAGGATTGTGGTTCGAATCCAGCCCAGGCAAATAGTTCAAAAGACCCTATCTCAAAAAATACTCAACTGTAAAAGGGGCTGGCAGAGTGGCGCAAGTGATAGTGTTAATGGCGCTGGTTCAGTCTGTGATCAGGACTTCCAAATTCTTGTCCCGCATGGAAGAATCCATGGCAGGACACGTGGGTATAAATGGAGTTTATTAAAAGTTAGGGAAGGGAAATACAAAGAGGAGTATGATAAGGCCAGGTGCTCTTCAGGTGCTTTTAAAATCTATGATAACCTGAGGGAAGGGGAGAACAAGTAGAGTCCTACCCAATAATTAATGATGGGGGAGGAGCCAGGGCCGTTCCCAGTCAGGTGAGTGGTTCCTGAACCAAAGCATGGTTAGTCTAAATGTAATGGATTTTTCCCTATAAGTCCCTAATTTAGCCTGCCTCAGTAGAGCACCTGCCTAGCAAGCATGAGGCCCTGAATTCAAAGCCCATACCACACACAAAAAAGAAGGCCAACCCCACCAGGCATTCGATGACATAAAAGCTAGTGCCCTGTAGGTAAGGGGCAGCCAGACCTTGCCCTCCTCCCTAGCAGGAGAAAGATGCTAGAGCCTATAAAGTGTGGCAACCATCCTTCTTGAGTAAGGTTGCCACCATAAGAGGGCGATGGTGTCCTTTTAGACAGCCTAGCCTAGGCAGCTAGAAAGCAAGGCCTCATTAGAGTGTCCCTAGACCTAGTGGGCCTGTGGTCCTGACCTCATCCAGTTTCATTCCAGGGAGGAGGGAATCTCTGGCACTCTCCACAAAGCATTCAAATTCACAGAGCCTGTTACAAGATTGACACTGTGGATCCCTATTCATAGAGGAAAAAATGGAGGCCCCAAAAGATCTAGAATTTCCATAGCAGATGGCAGCCAGCCTTGTGCTCATTCCAGCTGCACCTGCTTGACCCCCAGTGCCTGCACCACTCACCAAACACTTCCTGAGTGCTCCTCTGGTCCTGTGCTAAGTGCTTTACAAACATTGTGGTTTTTGTTTGTTGTGCTGTTTTGTTTTTGCCAGTACTGGGGTTTGAACTCAGGATTTTGCACTTGCTTGACAGGTACTCTGCTGTTTGAGCCATGCCTCCAGCACATGTTTGTTTGGTTATTTTTTTGGTGGTACTGGGGTTTGAAATTGGGGCCTTGAGTTTATAAAGCAGACGCTCTACTACTTGAGCCACACCTCCAGTCCATTTTGCTCTGGTTATTTTGGAGATAGGGTCTTGTGAACTATTTGCCCAGGCTGGCCTCGAACTGTGATCCTCCCAATCTCAGCCTCCCAAGTAGCTAGGATTATAGGTGCGAGCTACTAGCTAACATCATGCTTCTTTTTCATCTAGAAGGAAATAGGTCTTCCTATTCCTGATGATCATTTGGGGTCACCAAATCCAAAAAAGGTCCAGCAGCTAGGCCTGGACTCCAAGACTCCAGATTCTCCAACCTGCTTCTCTCTCTGTTCCCACTTACCCCTTCACCATCATGTAGAGGAGTGGGCACCTGCAAACAGCTGCCCATCCCAGGGATCTTCTTTTTTTTTTTTTTTTTTTGAGTGATTTCTTTTTTTTTTTTTTCATTTTTCTTTTATTATTCATATGTGCATACAAGGCTTGGTTTATTTCTCCCCCTGCCCCACCCCCTCCCTTACCACCACTCCACCCCCTCCCTCCCCCCCTCAATACCCAGCAGAAACTATTTTGCCCTTATCTCTAATTTTGTTGTAGAGAGAGTATAAGCAATAATAGGAAGGAACAAGGGGTTTTGCTGGTTGAGATAAGGATAGCTATACAGGGCATTGACTCACACTGATTTCCTGTGCGTGGGTGTTACCTTCTAGGTTAATTCTTTTTGATCTAACCTTTTCTCTAGTTCCTGGTCCCCTTTTCCTATTGGCCTCAGTTGCTTTAAGGTATCTGCTTTAGTTTCTCTGCATTAAGGGCAACAAATGCTAGCTAGTTTTTTAGGTGTCTTACCTATCCTCACCCCTCCCTTGTGTGCTCTCGCTTTTATCATGTGCTCAAAGTCCAATCCCCTTGTTGTGTTTGCCCTTGATCTAATGTCCACATATGAGGGAGAACATACGATTTTTGGTCTTTTGGGCCAGGCTAACCTCACTCAGAATGATGTTCTCCAATTCCATCCATTTACCAGCGAATGATAACATTTCGTTCTTCTTCATGGCTGCATAAAATTCCATTGTGTATAGATACCACATTTTCTCCATTCGTCAGTGCTGGGGCATCTTGGCTGTTTCCATAACTTGGCTATTGTGAATAGTGCCGCAATAAACATGGATGTGCAGGTGCCTCTGGAGTAACAGTCTTTTGGGTATATCCCCAAGAGTGGTATTGCTGGATCAAATGGTAGATCGATGTCCAGCTTTTTAAGTAGCCTCCAAATTTTTTTCCAGAGTGGTTGTACTAGTCTACATTCCCACCAACAGTGTAAGAGGGTTCCTTTTTCCCCGCATCCTCGCCAACACCTGTTGTTGGTGGTGTTGCTGATGATGGCTATTCTAACAGGGGTGAGGTGGAATCTTAGTGTGGTTTTAATTTGCATTTCCTTTATTGCTAGAGATGGTGAGCATTTTTTCATGTGTTTTCTGGCCATTTGAATTTCTTCTTTTGAGAAAGTTCTGTTTAGTTCACATGCCCATTTCTTTATTGGTTCATTAGTTTTGGGAGAATTTAGTTTTTTAAGTTCCCTGTATATTCTGGTTATCAGTCCTTTGTCTGATGTATAATTGGCAAATATTTTCTCCCACTCTGTGGGTGTTCTCTTCAGTTCAGAGACCATTTCTTTTGATGAACAGAAGCTTTTTAGTTTTATGAGGTCCCATTTATCTATGCTATCTCTTAGTTGCTGTGCTGCTGGGGTTTCATTGAGAAAGTTCTTACCTATACCTACTAACTCCAGAGTATTTTCTACTCTTTCTTGTATCAACTTAAGAGTTTGGGGTCTGATATTAAGATCCCAGGGATCTTCTTAAGCGTATGGTTTTCTGAGCCCAGATTTAGGTTTTGAGGCTCTGCAAAGGTAGGGTCCAGAAGTCTGTATGCATATGTAACTGCTTTGTGATTCCAATGGCTAATCAGGTCTCACGTCCACTGATCCCTCCCACTCTGTGTGTCTCCACAGTCTCCACCATAGGCTGATTAATATCTTCTTTCATGGGGCATCTCAATTACCTCCTAGTTCGCCTCCCTAATTCTAAACTCCTCCCACCCCCATTCGAACTCCATCCAGCAGTCAGAGGGAGCTTTATGAAAACAAATCAGATTAAATCACTTCTCTGCTTAAAACACTTCTGGCAACTTCCCCTC